GAGTCATTCTGCGAGGTCTAAAACGCCGACTTGGAGACGCTAAGAAAAGATGGGTCGAGGAGCTCCACAGCGTGCTCTGGGCGTACAGAACGACACCCCACTCAATCACCGGGGAAACACCCTTCTGGCTAACGTATGGGACCGAGGTTGCAATCCCGGCCGAAATAAGGGAACCGTCTAGAAGAACGGAATCCCACTCGAAGAGGAGGCCAACGACGAAACCCTCAGAGACGAGCTTGACTTAGTCGAGGAAATATGCTCAAGGGCTTCTCTTTAGGAAGTCGCGCTGAAACAAAAAATTGCCATCTGCTATGATTGCAGGGTCATAAAGCGCGAATTCCAGATCGGCGATCTGGTCTTATGAAGAAACCCAAAAGATTCGCACGAGGGCAAGCTCGCCGCCAATTGGGAAGGGCCCTACCGTGTCCGAGACAAGACGGCGCACGAGGCCTACTACCTCGAGAACTTACACGGGGACGAGATAGCTCGACCATGGAATGCTGAGAAGCTAAAAAAATACTACAGTTAAGCAATGCCCGCGACGACACGCCTCGCGACCACAGGAGCGCGACATAGTACAATCGCGTCTCCTCGAAATCAATGAGATAACAAGCATTTTCCCTTCATGTGTGAAAGCAGAACGCTCTCTTTGACGGTGACCCCTCGACCGAGAGTCACCGCCGTATTACCGAGGTTGGTAGAACACGCAGCTCGCAATGGGACGTTCACGCCGCGGGGATAGGTCTCCAACCGTGGGCCATCTCCGTAACCGACCAGGTAACCACCCCGGTCAATCGGCCAGTTCCCTACACTACTGGATATACATACAAAAGCGTCGAGCAACATTCCCTACAAACATACAAAAACACATACAAGCATACGAACATGCAAACATAAAACGAGTGCACACCTAAAGAAAAATACTGTATTATAAAAGGGGCACTAGCCCAGTATTCAGTTACACCACAAAAGGGCACGCAGGCCCGGAAACATATACTTTAATCTTCGAGTCCGCTTCGGGATCATCGGTTGGGGTGGCATCCTTAACATCCTCGGGACCAATGGCGACCACCCGTCCATCGACGACCTGATGGTAGGGCCCAATCCATCCAGTGACCAAGACGACCTCGGAATTCACTATCTTGAGTTGGTCCACAACACTAGAGAACTCAACCTCGACAGCACCCAGACAGTCGTGCTCCAGCTCGCGGATCCTCCCCATCAAATCAGCACGGGAGAGCAAAAGCCTCTCCTCTTTTGTCTCATCCTCGGCAGGACAAAGCGAGGTCTCTAGCTCCACCACGCGAGCCCGCAGCCTCGACAGTTCCTCCTCAGCGGCCTCCACCTTACCCTCGGTCTCGAGCCCCCTCTTCCACTGCGCAGCCGCCTCTTCCTTGCTCAGCTCCAGCTTGGCAGTCAGTTTAGTCAACCTCAACTGAACAAAGGCGAGGTCCCCCCGCAACTTAGCCAGCTCAGCAGAAGAGCAGCCCTCATCGTTTAACACCAGAGCGGTTGAGAAAACCTGCATCATTGCGGCCAGATCCTCGGTGAGCACCTGCCTCCGAGCGTCTCGACTTCCCCCGAGGATTGCCTTCACTTCCGAGGCCGACACAGTTGGCGACCTTGCACCATGAAAGAACCCGGGATTCTGATGGCCAGGAGGGATGAGAAATCCCTCCTCAGAAAATTCCTCGGTGAGATTGACGACGGTCCCTGAGGACTGAAGTTTAGCCCGCTTCGCAGCGTCTTGAGACGTCGGGGACTGACTACCTTGAGGTGACGACGAAGACCCCTCTTCCCAGATCTGTGATGGCCTGCTGCACCACCTGGGCAACCCTGCTCTTCCTGGCTTTTGTCGCGGCTCTAGAGGCCGCCAATTTCCTCACGCGCTCTTCGACGGACGACATGCTTCCTGCAAAACAAAACAGAAAAAAGGTCAGCAAACGAACAAACGGATACCAAAATGTCGGGCAGAATATCAACCACCACCTAGGAAACGGAGAGCCTCCTCATCGGATGAACACTCGAGCAGAGCTTTCGTGTTGATTAACCTCCTTTGTTGGCAAACGTGCCCCTGGCTGTCGAGGATATAGTTACCGTCGGGCGTCACCAGTCTGGCCGGGGATAAGCTGGCCACAAAAGACACTATCTTCTGGTAGCCCGCTAAGTCGTCCTCATTCATGGTCCCCGCCCACACTATATAGTGCTTCTTGAAGTGCTCCTCCGTCCACTCCAAGGGAAGCCTCGACACCATGACATCTTCCCGTTGCCCGTTCACCTCACGAACTTCTCGACGATACAGGGAGGCGCACGCCTCGTAGGAAATGGGTCGGACCACGAAGAACCGCGCTTTGAAGTCCCAAACAGAATCCATGTATGTCCGGAAGATTCTCCTCGGCTGCTTCAGAGAGACCCACCCTTGTCGGCCATCCACCGTTTTCCTCTACAAGTGGAAAAGGCGAAAAAACAGCGATAAAGTGGCCTCTATCTCCAGATGTCGGCAGACGAGCTCGTACGCCCGGATGAAAGCTATGGAATTGGGGTGCAGCTGCGAAGGAGCCAACCTTAGCCAGTCGAAGACGCCCAGCTGAAAATCTGTAAAAGGCAGCCTCAAACCAGCCTCCCGAAAGCAAAACTTGTACATCGGGAACCTCATCTTCCTGTATGTTGAGCATATTCGATGGTGCTCCCGCAGTCGGTACACTTGTCAACTAATAGGGGAGTCCGCGCACCGGTCCTCGACAGTCGTGTAAGCACCAGTGTCATCGTCGACGAAATAAGAAGATGTACTCAGGGGTTCCTCGGCTACCCAGTCCTCGACCGGGCGAGTACCCACCTCGGCAGCTGGAGCCTCTGGCTCCACGTCGATGTCCATGGTCCCCGGCACCCACGAGGTCATCTTCACCTGAAAAGCAGAAGGAAATGGTGAATTCGACGTTCAAGATCAAATTCACCCTTCCACCGCAGGTCAAGTGAAAGGGCGATGGGGACGGCGACCATATCCCGACGGTAGCTCGTGCTCACGCGACGTCCACATCCGCCCGAGCATCCCTCCCCGGGGTATTCATCCAGTCTCCTTCAGCATCCCCGGGGTATGCATCAAACCTACCCTACGTCCCCGGGGTATTCATCTAAAACTAAGGTATGTCCCCGGGGACTCCATCCTCATCATGTCGATCGTCCCCGAGACATTCATCCTACAACCCTAAGTGTTCTCGGGGCCTTCATCCTAAACCTAAGGATACGCCGCCGTATTCGACGGAAAACCCTCGCCCTCCTCGGGGCATTCATCATGCCCCCTACGACGGCATCGAGTGTAAAGAAAATAAAAGAATGGAAGAAAGGAACTTACTGGATTGGAAGAAACGGTGGAGTACGCGGTGGAAGCTACGGTGGTGCTGGGGAAAAATGTGAGTACGGAAATTGAAACGTCACGTGCGAGAGTGAAAGAAGGCGAAAATTGGTAAATGGGCAGGCGCCTGCCTATTTATACACCCAGCGCGGGACTCGAAGCGCTCCTAGGCACTCGAGTACCCTAGGGTAGCCGCCCTACAGGACCCATTGAACGTTAGACATGTGACCACTACGATCGGTCGCGACCTTTCATTCTCCCCGCAAGCACGGACAGACGAGGACGCTCCTACCTTCCCCTCCTCGACCGGACGACCCGACGAGACCAAGATCCTCGCACTCCCTCGTCCCCGATACAACTTACCCACGAAGATTATTCCTCGCACCTTCTTCCTCCCCGACATAGTACCATCAAGTCCTCGCTCCTTCACTTTGGAGCTACGACTTAGGGGGCTCTTGTTCTGGACTTGGCCCAAGCCTGCCCATCCATCGGGGAGGCCCAACCCAACGTCATTTGGGGAAAGGTCAAATAATCCCAAATCACTCAGTGTCGGGCACAGTTCCTTCCGTCAGGAAGACATTCCCTCTGTCGGACAGAACAACACGTCTTCCACACGTTCTCCACGTGCCTCCTCCGCGGGGACACGTCATCAGACAACTACCCACCTCCGAAAGAGCAGGTCAACTCACCTTCCGGAGATTACGGAACAGTTGATCTAGGGCGAAGACCATGTGCTGGTCTTCACTACGTCACGTAAGCCCTAGCAGTCACTTGGGTTGGGCCTGGCCATCCAGCTCAACACAAGTGACCGTTGGCCCTGCGTTGGGGTCTCACTATAAATACCCTATTTACTAGAGGGTCATGTATTCAATTCTCTATATCTCTTCTGTATTTGCTCCCACTCTCATTCACTACTTATTTTGGCATCGGAGTGTCTTGCAGGTACACCCCCTCCTCCTCCCTACTTCCGGTGAACAGCTTGCAGATCAACGACGCGCGGTCATTAATTCCCTTCTGATCAGGTCAGATCATATTGATATTACACTTTGCTCATATAATTTTGATTGGGCTAAATTTATGATAGACTTTCTTCATAACTCATCTTTACGGTAGAAGAAAAGAAAATGATCATTTTGGAGAATCAACTTTGATATAATACTGCAACTAAAAGAAAATATATGATCCACTTCAATGCTCATTTTCCTTGGCATCTAGTAATAATGCTTCACATTAGAGTAAAACTAATTGGCATGTGAAATAGGGATAGAACCAAATCATGCCTAAGCTGCACTGCATAGAGGGAGTTATCTAGGGACAAACAAATAATGGATAGACATATATGACAACTTCAGACACATTAAGTCAAATGAATTCCTGAGGTAATGCTCTCCATTACATTCCATCAATAATAAAACACATTCAAAATGTTTGCAAGTAATTTTAGAAATATTGAATTGCAAGAAATTAATAATGCTATCCATTACATTACATAAAAAATAAAACACATTAAAATATGAACCAAATCAGGCCTAAGCTGCAAATGCTAATAATCCTTCATAAGTTCTAACTCCTCTTTATTCAGCTAATAAATGATGTACTTAATCTGAATTTAAAAAAAATCAATTTTTTCCTAGTATTGGTTCTCCCTTTAGCCTGTTTCTTTGTTGACAGTTAATGCATCTTTGATCAGCATAGGAGGAGCTTTTTGTGATACAGAAGATGTGGATGGTGGACTTACACTGTTTTGCCCAAACTTCTTCATTTTCTTCATGTGTTTTTTCCCTTTCACATGACATTCCATCACAGCTTTTGAGGAAGTGCTAATTTGACAAATCTCACACCACAAAGGTTCAAACTTTCTCTTTTTTGTTAATGCACTTATTGGCTCCGCTTCCTCCATTGCAGCATCTTTTTTACTCTCCAAAGAACCTACATTTTGGCTTTTCTCCACAACCAGCCCCCTATTTTCAAATTTTACAACATCATTACTGACCATCATCTCCACAAGCTCATTCTCATTTATGGGTTTTACTTTCCACATTACACTATTATCAGCCGTTGTCTCCACAAGTTGCTCTTCATTTTTCAGTTCAGTTATATTTTTATCAACCATCATTGCCACAAATTTCTCATTTTTTGATTCTGTTGCACTTGCATCATTATCAGACACCGTCTTCACAAGCTGCTCCTCTTTTTTAATTTCTCCGACGCCCTTATCAACAGTAGTCTCATTCATGACTTCCAAGGCAGTGCAGGATTCAAGAAACTGTTGATCAACAGCAGTCTCATTCATGACTTCCAAGGCGGTGCAAGGTTGAAGAAGCTGTTGATCAACAGCAGTCTCATTCTTGACTTCCAAGGCAGTGCAAAGTTGAAGAAGCTGTTGATCTTTTTCTGCATGAACCACTAACTTTGTGGTAGTAACATCTGTTTCAACAACCATCACATTTTCCCTACTTTTTTTGTTTCTCTTAGCAATCTTCCTGTTCTGTCCTGCTTCTCTAGCCTTGTGCTTCTTACCATTCAAATGAGCATTCAAGCCACTCTCACTCGTGGCTTTAATTTCACAGAGTGCACAACTCCACTCCTCCTTCGATTTTTTCTTCAAACTAAATGCAAGAGGTTCAATTTCAGAATCAGGAGGTGTTGTTGCTTTTCGCTTTGCATTAAAAAGTTTGGGATCTGGCTTATCCTGCATTGAGATACTCAAATAAAACATCAATTCAAGTATGCTCATAAACACTTTCATTGAATACCCTAAAATGACATTTTAAGCTTATGCTATCAACAACAAATGATCTTACACACAATATGATTGTTACTTCAGTTTACCAATTGATTGTTTCATTGTTCTTTTACAAAAACAACACATGAAAAGAAACACATATATGATTATAATACTTAGTTATATACACACGGAAATGTTATCTAACATCCATTTGAGACAATACAATTTGAATCAATGAAGCTTTAAATTGGTTAAGTTGGATTAGCAAGTATATCAAGATTTATAATTAATTAATCATTTACAGAACTTTATTAACTAAAAATTTAAACGCGATTAACCTCGATTTTCAAGTGTTCAAACTTACCTATAGCTAGAACACTTGCATTCGTAGTTAATAATGTTTAGATTTGTAGCTAATTAAGTTCAATAAATGATTAATTAGTAATAAATCTTGATTACTTGTTAATCTAATTTAACCAATTTAAAAATTCATTGATTCGTGAACTTCTTAACCTGAATATTAAATTGCATTAAACATGTGTGTGCAAAAACATTCATAAAAGTCAATGTAACAGTGTTATTCAACAATACAATCAATGATTCAACTCGTAATATAATCACATGAGAATGGAAAAGGTTATGAAACTGACCAACACTATAACTTTGCCCTTGTCACAGGTCTCCGGAGAAGGGTTGATTTCCGCAGGGGGCAAAATTGACTGTGGTTGCGACTGCAACGCATCAATATGACCAACAGCGGCGGGGTTCATCACAGATGAATTGGACCAATGGGACATTAGTCCTTGAATATTCATCAGCGGCCTCGGTAATGAAATCCCCAATTCTTTCTCCATTGCAAGTTCCCTTCTCACTTCCTCCTCCAGCTCACTTCGCCGCAAAATTTCTCTACGGATTAGCTCCTTCTCAATCTCCCGTCGTAGTGCCGCCTCGCCGGATAACGGCATTCGCAAGCCAGAAAAACATCCGTCCACTGAAAAACATTATAGATAAATATTATTAATATAAAAAAATAGGTTAATTTTCTCAGGTTTAAAAGCGTGCAGCTGAAGCAAAAGAGGGTTTTCGATTGACTTACAATATAGTGATTGATCAGGGAGATATGTGAGCGGGGAAAGAGAATGCGATAACGACGTGATTGGTGGTGGTTCCTTGTTGTCGACGGCACGGAATTTGAACTCCATTGAAGAAATTGAAAAAGCAAAAGAAAAAAGAGAGAAGATTGTGGTTTGGGGAATAAAACTCACGCGGGGTGTATTTGAGGAAATCTCAGAGTAGAACCCTAAAGGGAGTCGTTTATAAATTATGAAACAAGAGGAAATAAAATTCGTAATACATGAGAAAGCGTTTCTGATTTTACTACAAAAACGTATCATAAATATATAAAGATAGGGGAAGAACGTTTCTTCATAAAGTGAATCCTATTGATAATGACCTATTTTCATTATTAAATCTTTTAGTTTTTTTTATACTCTTTTCATTATTAAATTTTTAAATTTAATATTGTTTAAAATAATTTTATTCTATCATCTAATAAAAATATATTAATTTGTCCTTTTGTATAATTAATTTAAAATTTACAGTCTGATGTATTATACCGTTAATAAAATTTACAGTCTGATGTGCTGAGATACACAAAGATAACGGTAAGTACATACTAATTAAATTCTAAATCTTTTAGGTTGTTTTATGAAATTAATTGATACACATTGACAATGTAAAGATTTTTTATACCGTTAATTAATTACAATCGTTAATTTATGTTAAATGTTTAACTTTTATTTTAACCACTTAGAAAAGTAATAGCATGTGATGCATTAATATTATAAAACTTTTTACAGTTACAATTAATTTCTTGTTTCATAATATTATATTATATTATTCGATAAATTTTAAAAATAAATTCTCTTATAATTTTAGTTTCTGAAATCTATTACCAGTTATTTTTTTTCCAGCATACTATCGGTTACTATGATAAGGAGTCCTAATTACATTTGATGAGAATAATTTAAGCTAATAATTTCTTTATATTTTTTATATTTAGAATTATTAGAATTTATTAGTAATTAGTTTGTATAATTAATTAGGTTAGTTATTTATAGTTTTATATTGTCTTGATATTTTTTTTCTCTTTTGTATCTTTTAGTCTGTGTTCATATTAGTTCTACAAATTTAAAATGTTCATTTCAGTCTTTCAATTATTTAAATAGACTTATGTTTGTCCTTGGTGTCAAAACTTAGTAAAAATCTATCTAGTTGTTGCTGGTGTGAAATAATATATGTTCGAGTTATTAATTATTTAATTGATGGTTTAAATTCAAAAAACAAAATTGGAGAATTTAGATCATTCCCATAAGGAATAACGAAGATAAAGAGAATGAAGCACAAAGCGTTCTCTAAATTTTGGTCTTGGCAAGGTCTTAGAATATGTCTAGAATTTAATTTTCTACCCTGCAATAGTCGAGTTTGATCTCTTTAACTATTTCAGCTTCTTTGATAAAGTGATACTTGATTGCTATGCGTTTTGTTCTCCTGTGATGCACTGGATTCTTTGTTATTGCAATTGTTGATTTGTTGTCGCAATTGATTGTAGTAGGCTTATCTTGTTTTTCTCCCATATCTTCAAGTATTCGTCAGAGCCAATTAGTCTGACTCATTGCTTCAGCAGCTGCCACATACCCAACTTCTGTTGTTGATTGTGAAACTGTAGCTTGCTTATTCGATGTCCAAGAGAAAATTCATGATCCTAGTGAGAAAGCATAATCGTAGGTACTCTTTAAGTCATCTACCGAACATGTCCAATCACTGTCGATATAGACAAGTAATCTTGAGTCGGTTTTGGTAGTGTACCATATACCAAACTCTTTTATTCCTTGTACATAGCTCAAAATTCTTTTTCCTGCTTCAAAGTGTATTTGACTTAGGCTTTGCATGAATCTTGATAGAAGACTTTTAGCATACATTATGTCAGGTCGTGTAGCTGTGAAATATATGAGGCTTCCAAATAGACTTCTAGATCTGGATGCACCAGCTTCTGGTGCTCCGTCATTCATCTGTAGTTTTTCATTTGTTATGAGTGGAGTAGCGACATGTTTGCAACTGTACATTTTGAATTTCTTAAGTAAAGCTTATGTGTAGTTCTTTTACGAGATGAATATTTTGTCTTTTCTATGACTTACCTCTATACCGAGGAAGTAACTCATCAAACCAAAATCGGTTATGTCAAAGGTCTTCACCATGTCTTCATTGAACTCCATCATCATCTTAGTATTGTTTCCCGTGTAGTTAAGATCATCTACATATAGAAAAGGTAAGAGAGTGTACTGACCTTGAGACTTGATATATAATGTAGGCTCATTCTTGCTCCCCTTGAATCCTCGATCCATGAAATACTGATCAATTCCGCGATACCATGCTCGAGGTGCTTGCTTCAGACTATAAAATGCTTTTCTTAGTCTGAACATTTTGCTTTGTTCCCCTTTAGGCACGAATCCTTGTGCCTGCTCCACATAGATCTGTTCTTCAAGTACGCTTTTGAGGAAGTCAAATTTGACATCTAGTTGATGGATACTCTATCCTTTTTGTGCCGCAAAAGCTATTAGAGCTCTTATGGTATCAAGACGAGATACTGGTGCAAATGTCTCATTATATTCAATCGAGAGTTGTTGTGTAACCCTTAGTTACTAGCCTTGCCTTGTGCTTAGGTATGGTGCCATATCAGCTGAGCTTTGTCTTATAGACCTACTTAACCCCAATGACATCTTTTCCATGGGGACGATTTACTAACTCACGTGTGTTGTTTTTTCTCGGTCATCTTTATCTCTTCTTCAATTGCCTTGACCCATACTTACTCTTTGATGCTTCTGCAAAGCTTCAAAGTTAAAGTATGGAAAAGTTGCAGGTTTCATATATGTCAACAAAATATCTTACTCGTTTTAGAGTAGACTCTAGAGATGATAGTTCTTGCTTTGTTGTTATGGTAGAGGTGAAAGAGGTTCACCTAGGTCTTCTTCCTCAGGTTTTTCTTGAGGTAGTTAAGCTGGTATAAGGATGTTCTTCTCCATTTTTTCTTCATCCCAATTCCTATAAGCATTCTCATCAACTTCAACATCTTAACCAATGATGCATTTTTTTAATTTGCAAGTTATAGACATGGTAGCCCTTAGAGATTGTGCTATACCCCAGAAAGATACCTTGTATAGTTTTGTCTTCAAGCTTCTGCCTCTTCACTTCTAGAATATGAATGTAGCATATAAATCTAAAGGTCCTTAGGTGCTTTGCTGATGGATTCTTTCAGTTCCAAGCTTCAATTAGAGTTTTATCTCGTGCTTGCCATACCCCAATTTTGTCCGGGCATTTTAGAACTTTCATGCGTCAGACTTTATTTTACTTTGCATCATCTGCATAGGATAACATGCATTTCATCATGCATAATGTCTAAAATATCGACCAAAATAAGTTTTCGGTTATACAGACAGACTGATTAAATAAATTCTCAACTGTGCGTAAAATTAGCGGACGAAAAAATTTCAAAATCGAGCTTGCAGACGTCAGTATTGTTAATCTATGATTCACATAGTTTTAACCTTGTATACTCATTTTATTTTTTTGACTACCTTTTCGGTTGCATTTTGATCAGCCTGAGCCTTTTGACCGGTCATTTTTTATTTCAAAAATTGATCAAAATCTGTATTGTTTCCGAGAAGTTTATTTCGCGATGATCATTTTTGTGCATTCAGATTAATTTTTCGGGCACTTTTGCACCTGATTTTTATTTAGTTTAAGTCCTTTTATTTTTATTCTTTTGTCAGATTGTTCAGAAAAATTAAATAGAATTGTCCATCTTATCATTTTGATTTTATTTTTTTTATTTTAAAAGATGTGAATTTTATATGATTTAATTGATTTAAACTGATTTGAATTTCATAAAGCATCAAGAAGGGGCAACGTTGACATTTTTAATTAGTTGGCAATATGTTTTTTTTTATCTTGATCGTGGTCATTAAATTCGTTTAAACGATGGTCCAAATTTGCTATCCATGTGCATTTATATCCACCAATAAGAAAAAATCAAAACAAATCAATTATTAAAAATTAAATAAAAAAATAAAGGTGGACATTTGGCCTGACATCTATAAGGTTAAGAGAACCTAACAAATGAGGATACACATATTAGAGGACTTTCGCTCTCTCACTAATGTTAATTTTGACTCAGCATAATTAAACGAAGGGGAAATAAAGAGTGAACAAGAAGCCTTTTGTAAGAGGGTTCCACGCGGCCCATGCACACATGCTACTTGGCTATCTCTTTATATCAAATGAAAATCATTTCTTTTAGGAGCCCATTAACCAATCCCCTTCTGATTTTCTCACTCTCCAATCATAAGAAAAAATTCACTTTTAAAAACTCTTCTCTCTCTCTCTCTCTCTCTCTCTCTCTCTCTCTCTCTCTCTATATATATATATATATATATATATATATATATATATATATATATATATATATATATATATATATATATATATATATATATATATATATATATATATATATATATATATATATATCTCTATCTCTATCTCTCTCTCTCTCTCTCTCACGTCTTGTCTAGTTTTTCTTCTTCCCACGACCTCCATCTCTGTTCACTTAACCCTCTACAACATAAAAAACCTCATATCTCCACCATTAAACCACTTTCTATCATCCTCTTTTTCAATTCATAACCAACCTGTCACCATTGCCACCCAAACAACTTCTGCAACTCTTACAACCACCATATTACTCCAATACATCTTCACATGAACAAACTCAGCCACATCAACAAACTCACTTGTTACTCCATTTGATTTACTTTCATTTTATGTTTTGTTTTGCATCTTGTTGGATTTGTTATTTGAGAATTATTGCTATTCTATTTTGATATAATCCATAAACAATGTAAAACGTTTTGGTTGCTGCTGCCTTTTTTTGCGTTGTGATTTCGGAGTTTAAAGCAAATTTAGCTTTCGAAATCGTTTTGGACGCATACATTTTGTTGTCTGGCTTCTTATAGATTGATTCCTACATGAATCCATTTTAAGTTAGCTTAACATAGACCTAAATTCATTACTCTCGATTTTGGTTTCCGATCCCTTGGCTTCCTCTTGGTTCTTCTTACAATGAGCTCCTTATTGTTTACACTTA